TATCCAGCTGTTACTGGAATCAGTAAGCTTAAAAGCCAGTTAACATTAGGACACTATAACATTTGTATTATACAAGTGTCTATTAAAAAGCATGTAATAATATTTGGGATGAATCTTTATAGCTGTAGCCAGGAAAACTGAGGTCTTTTTTCACAGGTGTGATCTCTAACTTTGCCTACATACATACATACATATAAATAATATGCCATGTAACTTCGCTCTGTTGTCCAGGCTGGAGTGCAGTGGCACAATCTCGGCTCACTGCAACCTCTGCTTTCCAGGTTCAAGCGATTCTCCTGTCCCAGCCTCCCAAGTAGCTGGGATTACAGGCGTGCACCCTGACGCCTGGTTAACTTTTGTATTTTTAGTGGAGACAGGGTTTCACCACGTTGACCAGGCTGGTCTTGAACTCCTGACCTCAAGTGATCCACCTGCCTCGGCCTCCCAAAGTGTTGGGAGGTGTATGTTTTATAGGTGTGTCCGACTCAAGTGTTACGTACTTTAAAAGAATGATACAGTGCGAAGGGTACTGTCTTATCTATAGTCATATCCTGGGTCTGTTACATACCAGCTCTGTGACCATAGCCAAGTAAACTTAAACTCTTTGGGCCTGATTCTCAATACGACAAGTTTAATAATCCCTACTTCCCTTAGGATTTTCATGACAATTGAAACTTTTAGACATTCAAGACAAGGTGAGATGGAATTGTGATATCTTAGGGCCTAACCTGTATACTCCTCTCTCACTGCTGCAGGATTCCCAACTAAAAGGATTCAAAAAACAACCCTCAAACAGAAAATAGTATACCTATTAATAGTTTGTAATGTAGAAACAAAACAACTCACGCCTGTAATCCCATCTACTTGGGAGTCTGGGACAGGAGAATCGCTTGAACCTGGAAAGTGGAGGTTGCAGTGGGCCGAGATTGTGCCACTGCACTCCAGCCTGGATGACAGAGGGAGACTCCGTCCCAAAATAAAAATTAAAAAAAACTTTTAATGAAATTGAGCTTTTTAGCTGTAGCCACAGAGATTCTGTCTAACACTTTGAAAATGGACAATACACATCTGTCTCCTATTTATAACACTGAACAGGAACTTAATATGATGACAATTCATTTTTATATATTGGAACCAAAGTATCAAATCAAACTTAAGCCAGGTAGGTACTGCTGCCTGCGGTTCTTCTGACCTTTGCTCTCTTGATCTGGTGGTCTTCTCTGGTCTACCAGCAGGAAGCCCAGAGAAGGTCAGCACCTCTGACCTTGACCTCCCTTCAGGGAGGTTCTGCTCAGCATGTTGGTGCTTAGTTCCTTTATGTCTAGCATAGGCACATCAGACAGATACCTAAAACACTTAGAACTTAGGAAGGAAGGGATGATTGAATACAATTATAAGATGATATGAGAAAATATTAACCAGAGGAGCTTTGACTTCAGACTCATCTTTGGAGGAACCCAAAATAGTTCCTAATTTCAGTTAAAGCCAACTATCGGTAGACAGTTCCGTTGCCCCACCCTCCCTTTTCTCAAGTTTCCAGAATGCAACCCACTCTCCACCATGCTTCTCCTACCATGACTTCCTTTTTTGTGTAGGTAAGAAAAGTAGAAGACGTGTTAATGAATCATATTCTGCTCTTTTCACCCACACAGCCTCATCCCCTAGTACCCAGCAGAAGTTAGAGGAAGTAACACAGCAGAGTGTCCATGTAGATACATCATATCCCAAAGTAATAACTATTAAGTCCTCTGCTTCCCACTTGCCTATTTCTTGTCCTCTTGTTACCCTATCACGATTGTGAAACGCAGCGACTTCCCCTAAGCCACAAGTGAGAACAAGATGTTCACTGACCCGAGAAAACCATCTGACAAAAATTCATTTCCTGTTAATAAGAAAACAGCCTGGCATTTGTGTTATAATATGATCTGACAGTTAGTTCATAGAAAGCATGCTTTGTTGTACCTGTGCCTAATGTCTGATGCAAAGTTTCAGAATGATGTTCTGGCATGCTTTCCCACAGCATTTGGCCAGTGTGTATTTTACATGGTTGAAGCATTGTGCCATGTGTAGCTATATCCTTTTGTTCCCCGACTTAAGAATTTCTCATGTTACTAAGAACTCAAGTTTTTATAAACCTCTTTTTTAATGGCTGCATATATTTTGTTCTTTGTTGTGTTCTTTGTGGTTTTGAGACGGGGTCTTGCCCAGGCTGGAGTGTAGTGGTGCAATCTTGGCTGACCACAGCCACAACCTTCTGGGCTCAACTGATACACCTCAGCCTCCCTAGTAACTGGGACCACAGGCATCACCACTATGCCCAGCTGCTTTTTTTTGTTGTTGTTGTTTTAATGTTGCAGAGATGAAGTCTCGCTTTGTTGCCCGGGCTAGCCTTGAATTCCCAGACTCAAGCGATCCTCCCAAAGTGCTAGAATTATAGGCGTGAGTCACCATAATCCCATATTCTTTAATTATATGGCTGTACCAGAATCTTACTTAACCTTTTCCTGCATCTAGACATTCAAGATATATTCTGAGTTTTAAAAAAACAAACCCCAAATGCTAGGTTGTGTGTGTTTTCAGGTGCTAGGGTAGTTCCTCAACTAAAAACTATCTGACCTGCCAGTCCCTCTATTTTCTGCCCCTAATTGTTAAATCGAAGGCCCCAGTCCTTTCTTCCTCAGGGATCCTGATCAATTCCTCAGTGTGGCAGAGCTGCCCTGCCCTGCCCAGCCTCTGTGCAACCCTTCCTGATGCACCCTTACTTTTCGTCACCTCTTTAACACTCTACTCCAGCCAAGCCCTCCCCACTCTCCCAAGGGAACCCACAACAGCACCTCCTGGTGGGCAACCAAGCGTTACATCACTTATATTCACTCAACATCTACCACCAGCCCGTTACCAAATGTATCAGAGTGGGTCCAGAGTGTATCAGAAGAGGTATAGAGCACACCTACAAGTACCTATGAAACTGATGGTTACCTAATTGGAGTCTAATTGCCTCTTAGCACTGCCATCAACTGCTAGCGACATATTTGCACCTCTAACCAAACCTGTGAACCACCACTGATTTCTTCCAAGCTGATAAACACTCTCCAGGCACCACTCACATGGAGAGGGGAGGGAAGGAGTGGAGAGCCTTTTCTTCCAAAAGAGTCATAATGAAACACTCTTCATGCTCTTCATGATTCTATCACCTGGCCAACCCGTTTCTTCCTCTATAGACTAGGGATGGCAAACTAGGGGCCCTCGCATGTGTTTTGTTTGGGCCACATGGTTATTTTTGGTTTTTTTTGAGACGGAGTCTTGTTCTGTCACCCAGGCTGGAGTGCAGTGGTGCCATCTCAGCTCACTGCAAGCTCTGCCTCCCGGGTTCACGCCATTCTCCTGCCTCAGCCTCCCAAGTACCTGGAACTATGGGTGCCTGCCACCATGCCTGGCTAACTTTTTGTATTTTTAGTAGAGACGGGCTTTCACCATGTTAGCCAGGATGGTCTTGATCTCCTGACCTCGTGATCCGCCCACCTCGGCCTCCCAAAGTGCTGGGATTACAGGCGTGAGCCACCACACCCAGCCTGGTATTTTTTTTTTTTTTACAAAAAGGAAGAAGAAAAGGAGAAAAGATGAATAGCTTTAAACATTTATAATTTAAGTGATTTTGAATAAAAATCCATTTCTCTGGCTTTTCTTTTAAAATGAGGAGATCTGGCAACCAGGGACTCTACATTTCAGGAGAAGAGCATGTGGCTGGGGCCCCCTTGGGACAGAATACGTCTCTCTACCGGATTAGATCCCCACCTGGTCATTCAGCTAAACTGCATAGCCCCTGGAAGCCTATGCATCTGTGACCCCGTGGATAGAGGCTGTCTGCTTCCAGAGCAGGAGACAGGGAAATGGATTTTTAGGGACAGAGAACAGCACTATGGGAAAGGCCATGTTTAAAGGAGGTCCAAATATTTGACTGACGGTCATTTGTATGACCTGTACAAACTTGCACTGCCTTTAGCCCCCAGAGAAAAGACTTGCCATCCTGATAGTCAGTGACAGCTGCAGTCTGACAAGTGGCAGGAACATGAAAACAGCTGCAAAGCCATGCCCAAGCCTGCACTCACCACATCCTGCTGATAGGAGGGAGCTGGTGCTGGCCCTCCTGTCCCTCTCCTCTCACAGGGCTGGCAGTAGCTTGTGGTGACTGCAGGAATTTAGAAAGTCCCTTAGCTGGGTCAGAAATGTAGCGCTTCTCCTGAGGCCAAAGGCATCTTCACCATCTTCTTTATCCCATGTGTCAGGGGATCTTATGCAATATAGAACCCTGCTCACCCAAGCTTACTGCACTCTGCTCTTGGAGGCCTCCCTTTGGAGAATTCCTAACACGACTCTACCTGCCAACCTCCCAGGCTAACCTATCAACCACAATTTCCTCTGTGTAGCCAACCCCACAGAAATGAGCCTCCTCATTTTAAAGGGCTCATACAATTAGAAGTTCTGCTCCATTCCAGCTAAGATTCCAGTGAAAAGAAACATTCTGCTCCTAAATGTTTCAACAACAGCATGTACCAAAGAACAGTATGTTCCCTATATACCCCGAGTGAGTAAGCCCCAACAGGCTCAAAGAAAGACCAGATAATTCTCCATGACTTAAGCCAACAAGGGTTACATAGACCAGGAGCTAGAGCATGACAATGGCAGAGGAATAGTTACCAAACCTTGCCTTCGCTCGGGGTGGCCAACCCATAGCCAAAAACATGTCAGAACTCCTACATCCCTGCCATATTTGAAAAAGAATATAGTATCAAAAAGTGTTAAAAATGTTTTTGTGGAGTGTCCTCGGGGCATAGGGGCCGACCGCACGCAGTCGCGCAGCGCTGCCTCCGCCTGCCAGTCTCGCCCGCGATCCCGGCCCGGGGCTGTGGCGTCGACTCCGACCCAGGCAGCCAGCAGCCCGCGCGGGAGCCGGACCGCCGCTGGAGGAGCTCGGGCGGCAGGCTGAGCTCCCCCCTCCTTGGCTGAAGCCCGAGTGCGGAGAAGCCCGGGCAAACGCAGGCTAAGGAGACCAAAGCGGCGAAGTCGCGAGACAGCGGACAAGCAGCGGAGAAGGAGGAGGAAGTGAACCCAGAGAGGGGCAGCAAAAGAAGCGGTGGTGATGGGCGTCGTGGCCATGGCGGCGGCTATCGCCAGCTCGCTCATCCGTCAGAAGAGGCAAGGCCGCGAGCGCGAGAAATCCAACGCCTGCAAGTGCAGTCCCAGCAAAGGCAAGACCAGCTGCGACAAAAACAAGTTAAATGTCTTTTCCCGGGTCAAACTCTTCGGCTCCAAGAAGAGGCCCCGAAGAAGACCAGAGCCTCAGCTTAAGGGTGTAGTTACCAAGCTATACAGCCGACAAGGCTACCACTTGCAGCTGCAGGCGGATGGAACCATTGATGGCACCAAAGATGAGGACAGCACTTACACTCTGTTTAACCTCATCCCTGTGGGTCTGCGAGTGGTGGCTATCCAAGGAGTTCAAACCAAGCTGTACTTGGCAATGAACAGTGAGGGATCCTTGTACACTTTGGAACTTTTCACACCTGAGTGCAAATTCAAAGAATCAGTGTTTGAAAATTATTATGTGACATATTCATCAATGATATACCGTCAGCAGCAGTCAGGCCGAGGGTGGTATCTGGGTCTGAACAAAGAAGGAGAGATCATGAAAGGCAACCATGTGAAGAAGAACAAGCCTGCAGCTCATTTTCTGCCCAAACCACTAAAAGTGGCCATGTACAAGGAGCCATCACTGCACGACCTCACGGAGTTCTCCCGATCTGGAAGCGGGACCCCAACCAAGAGCAGAAGTGTCTCTGGCGTGCTGAACGGAGGCAAATCCATGAGCCACAATGAATCAACGTAGCCAGTGAGGGCAAAAGAAGGGCTCTGTAACAGAACCTTACCTCCAGGTGCTGTTGAATTCTTCTAGCAGTCCTTCGCCCAAAAGTTCAAATTTGTCAGTGACATTTACCAAACAAACAAGCAGAGTTCACTATTCTATCTGCCATTAGACCTTCTTATCATCCATACTAAAGCCCCATTATTTAGATTGAGCTTGTGCAAAAGAATGCCAAGCATTTCAGTGAACTAAATCTGGGAGAAGGACTGCCAAATTTTCTCATGATCTCACCTGTACTTTGGGGATGATAATCCAAAAAGATTTTACAGCACTAATGCTGATCAAAATTTGCTCTCCCACCAAGAAAATTTCAGAGACCACAATTGTTCTTCAAAAACAAACAAAACATAACAAAATTAACTGCTTAAATGTTTTGTCGGGGCAAACAAAATTCTGTGAATTGTGTTGTTTTCTTGGCTTGATGTTTTCTATCTACACTCGATTCACATGTACTCTTTTCTTTGGCATAGTGCAACTTTATGATTTCTGAAATTCAATGGTTCTATTGACTTTTTGCGTCACTTAATCCAAATCAACCAAATTCAGGGTTGAATCTGAATTGCCTTCTCAGGCTCAAGGTAACAGTGTTCTTGTGATTTTACCAATTTTTTTTTTTTTTTAGATTTGTAGTATTCTGGTCAAGTTATCGTGCTGTACTTTGTGTGTAGAAATTGAGTTGTATTGTCAACCCCAGTCAGTAAAGATATCTTCAAAAAATTATCCTCAAGTGTAGATTTCTCTTAATTCCATTTGTGTATCATGTTAAACTATTGTTGTGGCTTCTTGTGTAAAGACGGGAACTGTGGAACTGTGATGTTGTCTTTTGTGTTGTTAAAACAAGAAATGTCTTACCTATATATGTATGAGTCCTCCTGTCATTGTATTTGGCATATGAATATTGTGTGCAAGGAATTGTTAAGACTGGTTTTCCCTCAACAACATATATTATACCTGCTACTGGAAAAGTGTTTAAGACTTAGCTAGGTTTCCATTTAGATCTTCATATCTGTTGCATGGAAGAAAGTTGGGTTCTTGGCATAGAGTTGCATGATATGTAAGGTTTGTGCATTAATAGTTGTTAAAAATCTGTGTTCCAAAAGTGGACATAGCATGTACAGGCAGTTTTCTGTCCTGTGCACAAAAAGTTTAAAAAAGTTGTTTAATATTTGTTGTTGTATACCCAAATACGCACCGAATAAACTCTTTATATTCATTCAAAAAAAAATGTCTTTGTGGCAAATATGAATTATTTCTTCAATATCCAGCTCTCCTTATTAACAGAACCCCGATTTTCTTCAGGGACTAGTATGCCAAGCTTCAAATAGTGCAATTTTCCAGCTTTCCAAGCTAGTGCTAAAGTTCTATAGAAATCCCCGGATATGGCATCCTTTAGTGAATAGAAAGGAAAAGACCTGCTGGACAAACACTGTTTGCCCCTTCACCTTTTCCTTTTTTTCCCTCCTTCTTGTCTCAGATAGGGACCCAAGAAGTACAGCAGCCCTTTAGCAACCATTAGGTAGAAACGTGAGGATGAAGGCCTGTACCTTAAGGACAGTGGAGCAGAAAGGTACAAAGAGCCTGGGCCCACAGGAGCATCAACGAGCTGGAGTAGCAGCCCTATGCTGAGAACCCTCATGCTGATGGCAGGAGACACACACCGGCCTGTTGAAATCCCTCAAGCAGGGTTTTCCATTATTTCAAATGGAATGAAATTTTGATTTATGAAGCTAGTTGTTAATGTATCAAAATCTCCCCCAGGACAATTTGTTCTGCTTAAAGGCCATGGCCACAGAACTCATGACAACAGAATCCAAAGGACTTAAACAACTGGGGCTACCAGTTTTAACCCTCAAAGTTCAAAAATACCCCAAACAGCCTGACTCTCTAACTCAACAGCCTTCCTCACCACCCAAAGATTTACTGAACACTTACTATGTCAGGTACTGTGTTGGAAGAAGATGAACATGAACCTGACTATTGAGCAAACAAGTAAGGGCTTTAACCAAGGCATGAACAGAGTTATGGGGTTCTGTAGAGGTGACTATGGGTGCTCTGGGCATCCTGGGGCAGAGGGCACATAGGAAGGAAGGGTGGAAGCAAAAGAAAAGGCTGGGAAAATAGAGCAGCAGAGATGGTGGGGGCAGGGAGTGGGCATTCGCCATTTTAACTTTGTATTATATAATGGAAAAACCAAGGTTTCTACATAAAAGATGTGTATATTTGCTTTATGTTTTGTTCTAGAATCAGAATTATTACTAATGAGGGTGGGGCAGGCTAGCTTTCTGCTAATTTTCTTTCTGGAAATTAATAGGTAATTGTGATGAATTCCTAATGTTGAGAGACAATTCTCGATGGGTGTCTTGTGTTTCTATACCTCTGTGAAAGACAGCTTCAGCTTTTGTCTTTTTAACTACCTTTTCAAGGATGTTTACATACCAAATAGCCTTGTAAGATAGAGACAGTGTCTCCCTGGGACAGGCATTTATTTTTACTGTACAGAAATAAAGATAAGGTCTCCCTCGGGGGCAAAGGTTGGTCAGGATCGCTTGCAGGCCCCTTTATGAGACTGGGGTTTCCTAAACTCAGGGTTCCTTTGCTGGGTCATAAGCCTGCTATGTGTGTAGTATCCATCTGGGTCACTGTTCCCTGTGGGACTTGGGAAGCAAGAGAAACTACTGCAAATATGAGATTCATTTTACCAGAGGTGCATGCATAATAAAGTCCTTTTAGTCTGACCCAGGAGTCTCAGGCCTTCTCTCAGCATCTATGTACCTGTGGCAGGCTAACTTGTTAGCTTGCAAGGAGGGTAAAATCTCAAACACTTCACAATTTTTGATGCTTAAACTAAGATTTTTAGAGAGGAATGGTCTGGGATACTTTTATGGGGCTAGAGATTGGAAAAGAAGGTAATTCTGAAGTATCTGAGTTGGGTGACTGGGCAGAAGATGGTGGTGGTGTTAAAAGGAGGAACACAGAAAGGAAAGCGGGTTCCTGGAAAATGAGTTGGCTTTGACACATTTGGTTGGAGATGCCTAGAGGATCTTGAGGACAAGATAGGCAGGTGGGCAGGTTCTTATTCCAGCTGAACCATGAGTACAGGGGATGCTCCATAAACAAACTGAGCCCCCCAGGCCTCAGTGCTCCCCTTGGCACTTCCTAAACTCACACGTCATTGTGTTGTCTCAGGGTCCCCAGAACACACCAACAACAGATCCACATTTTTTAAAAAGTATGCTTAAATCAGTCAGACATGGTGGTGTGCACCTGTAGTCACAGCTATATGAAAGGTTGAGGTGGTCGGATTGCTTGAGCCTGAAAGGTAGAGGTTGCAGTGAGCCGTGATCATGCCACTGCACTCCAGACTGGGTGACAGAGCAAGACCTTGTCTTAAAAAAAAAAAACAAGGCGTGCTTTTCCCAACACTTAGGGAATCAAATTCCCGGAGCTGGAGCCTGGGCATCTGAATTTTTTTAAAGCTCCAAAGGTGATTCTGATCTGCAGCCAGAGTAGAAAAACGCCAACTATTAGAACCAAGGGCAATGACACTTTCCCTAAAGTCCTCAGAGTGTGGCCTGGCCAACAAGAGTCCTCACCTTGTTTGGTCAAGTAGGTGGCCGTTTCCTGAATTGGTAGCCCAGGATTTCTGTTCAACCTCCATCCTTTTTGAGGCCACTGAGTTCTGACTCAGGGACCAATTATCACTTGCCAAGTAAAGCACTGTACTTAAAGAGATCAGATATCCTGAGCCAGCCAGCTCCTAGATGTTGCTCTAAAGTAGACATTATCTCCCAGAATGGTTCAGAGATGTTTCTGCTCCCCTAAACTTTCTGGAATCCTGCCTGACACATCCTCTGGATTAATCATCAGGATACCCTCATGCCCAGCATATGGGGCATAACCCCAGATACAACCATTCCCTACCCCCATCATCCTTATGAAAAGCCATGTTCTCTCAGACTTCTGAAGTCTTTTGCTGATAGTTTGAGACTTTGAGCTTTTAGAGAAGGCAGAGGGATGTTGTGTGCTTGGTTTTTAGCTGCTGTGTTTCTTTTTTGCTTTTTTGTTTTTTCTCTATTATGTTCCATGTTTGCTGCATGACTTAGTAGTATTGGACCAGCTTATTGCTCTAGCTCAGATGGTTCAGAGATGTTTCTGCTCCCTAACTTTCTGGAATCCTGCCTGACACATCCTCTGGATTAATCATCAGGATACCCTCATGCCCAGCATATGGGGCATAACCCCAGATACAACCATTCCCTACCCCCATCATCCTTATGAAAAGCCATGTTCTCTCAGACTTCTGAAGTCTTTTGCTGATAGTTTGAGACTTTGAGCTTTTAGAGAAGGCAGAGGGGATGGTTGTGTGCTTGGTTAGCTCATGGCCTTTCTCCTTAGCTTTCCGCGTGCCCATGTGTACCTCATAGCCCTTCCATGTGCTGGCATGACTTCTTCCTGTCTTGGAAAGGCTTTTTTCTCTATATGATCATGTCATCAGCAAACAGCAACAGTGTGGCTTCCTCTTTACCAATTTGGATGCCGTTTATTTCTTTCTCTTGCCTAATTGCTCTGGCTAGGATTTCTAGCACTATGTTGAATAGAAGTACTGAAAGTAGGCATCCTTGTCTTGTTCCAGTTCTCAGGAAGAATACTTTTAACTTTTTCCCATTCAGTATAATGTTGACTGTGGGTTTGTCATGGATGGCTTTTATTATCTTAAGGTATTTCCCTTCTATGCCAATTTTGCTGAGGGTTGTAATCATAAAGCGAGGCTGGATTTTGTCAAATGCTTTTTCTGCATCTATTGAGATGACCATGTGATTTTTGTTTTTAATTCTGTTTATGTGGTGTATCACACTTTCTGATTTGCACATGTTAAGTATGCAGGGATGCAGAACACATCCCTGGTATGAAAAGCACTTGATCATGCTGGATTATCCTTCTGATATGCTGTTGAATTTGGTTAGCTATTTTCTTGAGGATTTTTGTATCTACATTTATCAGGGATATTGGTCTGTAGTTTCCTTTTTTGTTATGTCCTTTCTTGGTTTTGCTATTGGGTTGATACTGGCTTCATAGAATGACCTAGGGAGGATTCCCTGTTTCTCTGTCTTTTGAAATAGTGTCAATAGAATTGGTACCAAATCAATCTTTGAATGTCTGATAGAATTCAGCTATGAACCTGTCTGGTCCTGGACTTTTTTTTTCGTGGTAACTTTTTTTACCATTTCAATATCACTGCTTGTAATTGGTCTGTTCAGAGTTTTTATTTCTTCCTGGTTTAATCTAGGTAGGTTGTATATTTCCAGAAATTTACCTATCTCCTCTAGGTTTTCTAGTTTATGTGCGTAAAGGTGTTCTTGGTAGCCTTGAATGTTTCTTTTGTATTTCTGTGGTATGGATTATAATATCTCCTGTTTCATTTCTAAGTGAGCTTATTTGGATCTTCTCTCTTCTTTTCATGGTTAATATCACTAATGGGCTATCAACTTCATTCATCTTTTCAAAGAATCAGCTTTTTGTTTCATTTACCTTTTGTATTTTTTTGTTTCACTTTCATTTAGTTCCAGCTCTTTGTTATTTCCTTTCTTCTGCTGAGTTGGGGTTTGGTTTGTTCTTGTTTCTCTAGCTCCTTGAGGTGAGACCTTAGATTTTCTATTTGTGCTCTTTCAGATTTTTTGATATAAGCATTTAATGCTATGAACTTTCCTCTTATCACCCACCACCTCTGCTGTATCCCAGAGATTTTGATAGGTTATGTCACTATTATCACTGAGTTCAAAGAACTTTATTTTTGTTTGTTTTTTGAGACAGAGTCTCACTCTGTTGCCCAGGCTGGAGTGCAGTGGCATGATCTTACAAGCTCCACCTCCCAGGTTCACGCCATTCTCCTGCCTCAGCCTCCTGAGTAGCTGGGACTACAGGCACCAACCACCACACCTGGCTAATGTTTTGTATTTTGTACAGACAAGGTTTCACCGTGTTAGCCAGGATGGTCTCGATCTCCTGACCTTGTGATCTGCCTGCCTCAGCCTCCCAAAGTGCTGGGATTACAGGCGTGAGCCACCGCACCTAGCCGAGTTCAAATAACTTTTAAATTTCCATCTTGATTTAATTGTTGACCCAATGGTCGTTCAGGAGCAGGTTATTTAATTTCCATGTATTTGCATGGTGTTGAGGGTTCCTTTTGGAGTTGATTTCCAATTTTATTCTACTGTGGTCTGAGAG